AGCCCCAGCCTGGCGCCGGCCGCGCAGCGCCACAGCCTGGCCGGCCCCGAGGGCGAGGCGCCCCCCGACGCGGACCGGCCTCCGGCCGCGGAGTGCTCGGAGGGCGCGGGCGCCGCCGTGCCGGGCCCGCCGCCGGGCTCGGGCAGTAGTTCCAGCGGCTCTTCCTCGTCCTCCTCCTCCTCGTCCGCGTCGTCGTCGGCGGCGTCGAGCCCGGCGGCGGAGAGCCCCGAGGCGGCGGGCCCGGGCGCGGCGAGCGGCGCGTTCCGCGAGCTGCTGGAGGCCTGCAGGAATGGGGACGTGACGCGCGTGAAGCGCCTGGTGGACACGGGCAACGTGAACGCCAAGGACATGGCCGGGCGCAAGTCCACGCCGCTCCACTTCGCCGCCGGTGGGTACCGGGGCCTCCCGCGCCCGGCCGGGGCCGTGACAGCGGGCGGGACGGGGAGGGTCAGGCGCGACCCGGTTCCCCAGGACTGTCGGGAGAGCGCAAGCCTGAGCTGGGAGAAGAGTGTGAGCATACACACTCACTCCCCCGGCGGTGTTTCACTACAGGCTGCGGGGGGATGGCTGTTAAATCCCCTTCCTTTGGGTGAGACGAGTGGGAGAGGAGATCCTGGAGGCGTGAAGAGACCGTATGCTTTAAAAGTGTGGACGATGTTCTCTCTGCTTGACACATGGGCTGCTGCAAACTTGTGCACGTGGGCTTAGCAAGTGAGAAACAAATCCAGGACAGAGTTGGTTCGAAGTAAGGGTTTCATGTATGTTGTAGCAGCTCAGGGACCCCTGCGATGCACATGGATTTGGTAGGAAGTTTTGATGCCTTGTCCTTCGTAATTTGTTTTCCTTTTATTTGGGCATAGCTGCTGATTGATCTCTGCATCTCTAGTGGCCTGAGTGGGCTGGGGAAAGAGGTGAAGTGGAACAACTGAACTTGATAAAAGTTACAGATGTGTCCAGAAAAGAATATACCTCTTTGTGCAGAAAAGTCATTGTGATCAGAACTAATGTCATAAAAGCAATTTAACAGTGATGTCCAACAATGTTGGTTACCTGGAAGTAAATATTGCTGTTTGTCAAGTGAAGCTGTTGCAGGTTAGTGTAGTTCATAAAAAGAACATTTTTTACAAGGTGTGTGATCTTCACTGAGGGGACAAGGCATACAAAGTTCATGATAAAAGTAAACTAAGGAAGGTGTTTTAAATCATCAGCCCGAAGTCAGGACTCGTACAACTGCTAGGTCTGTGGTCGGGCTGAGGGCTTTCTGATGTGTGCCACAGGACTGGACCTTATATACTGGAGCACACAGATATTGTTTGAGCTTGAAGTGGTGCACTAGTACACATAAATTAAGGTGATAAGACTGTATTGAGTGGTCAGTACTTAAATGCTGGCATGGGAGTCTAAAACACTGTGTTGAAATCAATAACAAAATGGAACATTTTATGTCATGGTGTTGCCTGGAATCTAAATAGTGCTGTACAATTTATCAGTCAGATAATACTCTCTGCGAATGTATGGGTTTGTTTTTGTTTGTTTTCAAAGTATAAGTGGCATTTGACAATGCCCCTAAGGGAACTTTTGATCCTGAGCTGTTTCCTTTTCTTTCTTCTCTGGTCCCTGAGCTCTACCAGTGAAGCATGACCTTATGCAAGTGGAGTTTAAAATATAGTGAATTCTGGGGCACAGAGATGGACGTAATTTGAGTGAACCCTGGAACAATAATGCTGGTACCAACTGCATGTGTGCACCTGAAGTTCTTAATGTTTTGGAAGGCTTGACTCTGTTCTGCTTGTTTTGGATTTAGGCTTCAAGTTAGACCTTGCTGCTTCCCTTAAGACTCTGAGATCTCAGGTTGTAACTTCAGTGCTAGTACAGACTGTAGTGCTGAAGCTGCAGTGGTAACTTCTGCTTTGATTAGGGAAGAAATGAACAAAACTTAAGGGGGTAAGGCCTTGAAAGTTGATAGTCTCAATAAGATGTTACTGTAATAGCAGTGGGAGGTGATTCCTTGTAGCATAAGGAAAACAGCAGGTGAGGTTCTTGTACCTAACAAATTCCTGTATCTGTTTTTCTAGATTTAGAAACTTAGATACCTGTTTTATCTCAAATCACAGTATGTCTGGTCCAAGTGGATTTGTCATGTAATAGTATTAGGCAGATTTCTTATTACAGGGATCTTGAGGTCCTGTATTTTGGAAAGGCCTATAAGCAAGCATGTTATTTGAATGCAACTGATTTTAGGCACTGTGTATCTACCAAAAATGCAGTGTGTTTATTTCATCTCCTTTGTGAGCAAAAGGAGAAATAAAACTTGTTTGCTTTTGAGCATAGGAGTCTACTGTGTATGAAGCTGTGTTTTGGCTAATAGCTCATGTTTATGAGCCATACCTAGCTGTGAATTGTATGGCCTTCACTAGGGGAATGGGAGGTTGAGAGTGCAATATGTCATATTTTAAACTGCTTTTTTCAAACCTCTTAAAGGTAAACTCTTAATAGAGTTTACCTTACTTCTGATTTTGAGATTTGTGAAAGAGGAATTCTTCTAATTTCTTCTTCATTTTCCAATTTTAGGGAGAGATGGATTTTATTTTTTTCTTCCTCTCCCCCTTCCCCCCAGGTACTTCTTCCCACCCAGCTCAGTCTGGTTTTTTCAGATGTCATTTTTGGCAGCAGTGCCAGGCAGTTAAGTTACTTTTACTATAATAGGGAAGGACAACTTCCCCAGTTCTAGTTTCTTGTAAAAAGTACTAAGTTCAGGCTTCCATTGAGCTTTGAAAGTGATTGAGTGAATTAAAACACACACAAAAAAGAAAGAAATTAAGTGGAGGTATGAATGTATGTATATCTTTTGTATTCAGTTTATTTCAATGAAAACTAGCTTGCTTATAACTAAAAAAAATTAAAAAGGAACTATGCTAGACGTGAACAAAGGTATGTTTGTCTCAGTGTTTTATCCATGCTGGTGGCCAAAAGCAGATGTCTGGGGAAGAGTTATACACTTGCCCCCTTCATATGATACTTCTCTGAGTACTCTTCCTACAGTTTGTAGCTCAGCAACCATTTGAGCAAAACCCAGTTTCGACTTGTTATTAGAAACTCATCCTGTGGTAAGGAGTTCATTAAATAATTGGAGTTGTATTAAAAGTAGCTTGCTTCCTCTTGTACTTTCCACCCTCTTCACTGGCATATCCTATGTTCTGCTTGACGATTCTCTTCTTCAAACTGGATTGAATGAGGCAAACTATTTCACTCCCTTGCTTTTCCACTGCACTCTTGATCTAAAGATGTTACCTATTTTCCTTGAGAAAGATCTTAACTGTCATTGTTTATTTTACCAGATTATGAAGATTTTCATTATATACCCCTCACTAGTTGAAAAAAATTTGTCATGGCAATCCTGCATAAGACGATGTTGTTGCCACATAGTTGACAAAATACCTCCTTTGTGTGGATAATCAAATGATTTGGTTGCTCTGTGTGTATGTGAGAGGTAACTTTTTTTCCCCTCTGAGGAATGCTATTGACTTTCTTTGAATGGTGGGATGATTTCAGTCTATGCGATAATGTGTCACATCTTAGGTATATTTTGTGTGGGATACTTTGCTCTCAACCTAGATCCTGATTCTGTGGGTCATTATATGGTCTGTGAGTTGGAGTGCCTGTATTGCTCCTGTGTTTGAAGCAGGTTGGCAGTGATGTTGTCATGGCTCTGTGTGTCATCTCCGTGCATAACACTCCCAATACAAAGGCTGACTTTCTGTGACTTTTCTACCTTTAATATGCCTGGATGCAGAGAACTCCTGCTTTTTCCTGGAGCCAGCCTGGAGCCAGCCTTGCTTCTTCCCTTCTGAAAATGGGTTTAGCCCTACAAAAGGATATATATGTACTTACTGCTGACACCTTGATTCGTATGTTTTTAGGCCTGGTCCTTGCTGGTAAGTCATCAGTAATAGTGCCTCTTTCAGAAATGACTAGGTGGATGGACGTGGTAGAAGTGAGCTGAGTCCAAGCCAATTTCTTCATATAGCCACAGTTATAAGCTTGTCCAGTTCCACACCCATTTAATGAGAAGCTTAACTTCTTTTTGATGGTGGAGTTAGCCCCCTTGAGTTCTTGTGCAACACATTATTTTAGCTTTACAGTTACTTTTGTTCTAGTGTTTGACCCAAGGATATAGAGAGTACTAATATAGAGAGTAATTGCCAGACTGTGGCTTAATACCCACTTCTGTACTAAGGAGGACGTGAGGGTTTCCAGGAGTGGCTTTTGGAAGATACGGAGCTGGGATCACAGACTGGAGTGCTCTTGGTAGTATTAAGCCCAGGCTTGGAGAAACCTGATTTAAGGTGACTTGTTAGAACATCAGTGATGTACAGAAAACCTTGTTGTCTTTTTGCTTGTATCTGTAGTAATGGCAAAAAGCTGTTTGGGGAAAGCAGTCTTCTGTAAGCATGCTTTTGATGTCAGTAGTAATAACTGTTGGAAGTCAAAACTTTTTTGTGAAGGCTAGCTTATATAACCATTCTTTTGAAAATTTCTTGAGTATACAGCTTTAATCCTGAAGGCATCACTTGGGTTGGGAAACAGTCAGCGGTCAGAGTTTAAGAGAACTGATCAAGTTGATTTGTCAACTAGCAAGCTGTTAATCATAGAAATGCAAGGTACTTCGACATATGTGAGTGAGATAAGCAACTGAGGAGGCAGAACTGATATAACAAGCTACAGAGTGTTCCTTGAGGGAGAGCCAGGAAATGGCAAGAAGTACTTGTTAACTTATTGCACAGTTTCAATCCATGCAGAGACACCTGAATCGACCACTCCACCTGTGGTGCAATGTACAACAAATTAGCTAAAACTGCTTTGGAAAGCCTTGCCTGAGATACCATTCTTAAACTACTCTGACTCAACTTGTGGTTATCTGATACATCCTCATCACAGGAGAGCTCTGACCTTACTCACATGGTTAATTGTAAAGCTGTCACTGGTTAATTCTGCCTTAAAATTATGCAACTTAAAACAGGGTTGATAATTTTCATCTGGATTCGTATGGACAGAATGAAGACTGCAAACTGTGTAGTCAGTTGGGAATCATCCTGGCAGCCTTACAGGCTGAGAGCCTGCAAAATGTACAGTTTTCATATGAAAAAAGATGAAACGATGAATTACTGGTCTTGACTTTGGAATTCTTTCTTTTATCCTTTTTGTAGCATTTGTAATTCTTGAACTCTGTTAGTGTCACAAGTGTATTGTTTTGTGGGAAGTTCAGCTTGCTTTATCTGTGACCAATAACTTGTTCTCTTCAAGTGTCTTCCAATACTTTGTGCAATGCGTCTCCTTCCTATTTAAATATCCTTTGAAGGAATTTACAAGAGGATATAAATGCAAAAT